AACAATCATTCGGGCGCCACACTCCCCCGTCTTCAGCCCCGTCCTCTGTCTACCTTTCAACCTTTTTAAAAGCCCTTTCATCCCCTGGCACTCCTCCACAAAGCCCCTCGCCTCAACCTCGGAGTCGAGAACCCCTTAAACCCAAACAAAGAGAACCCAGTGCGCGGAATCGGTGGCGCTCGCTTACAAATCAAAGCCAACATCGAATGGATTGAGACGCGGGCGCTCACATCGGGGTCAGCCAGCCAGCCAGCGGGAGGCAGCCTGGTTGGAGGAGGAGGAGGAGGAGGAGGAGGAGGAGGAGGAGGAGGAGGAGGAGGAGGAGGAGGAGGAGGAGGAGGAGAAGAAGAAGAAGAAGAAGAAGAAGAAGAAGAAGAAGAAGAAGAAGAAGAAGAAGAAGGAGGAGAAGGAGAAGGAGAAGGAGAAGGAGAAGAAGAAGGAGGAGGAGGAGAAAAAGAAGAAGAAGAAGGAGGAGGAGAAAAGATGAGGAAGGAAGCGGAGAGGGAGGAGAGAAAAGAGAAGGAGGAGGAGATAAAAAAGGAGGAGGAGGAGGAGGAGGAGGAGGAGGAGGAGGAGGAGGAGGAGAAGAAGGAGGAGGAGAAAAGATGAGGAAGGAAGCGGAGAGGGAGGAGAGAAAAGAGAAAAAGGAGGAGATAAAAAAGGAGGAGGAGCACCAGAACGGGCGGCGGGAGGGAGCCCTACGGCTTGCCTCGAGGAGCTCCAACTCAACTCCCTCGGGAGAGAAACTCGGGGACAGCGGGTCTGGAGCGCTCCTTAATCTCATTGTTATTTCCAGGCTCATTTTCGTTAATATCATCATTATCGTACTGTTTCCTCCTATTACTAATTCGTTTTCGTTAATATCCTCATTATCGTATTTTTTCCTAACATTACTAATTCATTTTCGTTAATATTATCATTATTATGAGTCGTAAATTGTGTCCTACTATTACTAATTATGTTTCGTTAATATTATCATTATCACTAGTCGTATTGTTTCCTAATATTACTAACTCATTTACGTTAATATTATCATTAATATCATCATTATCGTACTGTTTCCTCCTATTACTAATTCGTTTTCGTTAATATCCTCATTATCGTATTTTCACTAGTCGTAAATTGTTTTCTACTATTACTAATTCATTTTTGTTAATAGTATCATTATTACTAGTCGTATTGCTTCCTACTATTACTAATACTGACATCATCGTTATTATCATAATTACTAATAGTATTGCATCCAACTATTACTATCATTGTCATCATCATCACTAACATCATCATCGTTATTATCATAATTACTAATAGTATTGTTTCTAACTATTACTATTACTAACATCATTGTCATCATAATCGTTATTATCATTATTACTAATAGTATTGTTTCTAATTATTACTAATACTAACATCATTGTCATCATCATCATTAACATCATAATCGTTATCATTATTTTTTATTTCAGTGTCATTTTTAGTTATATTATTTTATGTAACATTTATTATCACTGCAATTCCCTTGTTTTACTGCTAACTTAGAATAAATTAAATCGAAACACTACTTATAAAAAATAATGTGAACTTCCACGTATCTCAAAATCCAAGTGAGAAACGAAGGAATCCCGTATCTATCGTTCTCTCTCCTGAATGTCTATCACTCCCCCCCGCCCCTACCCTTTCTCTCCTTTATATCTATCACCCCTCCCCCCCCCTCCCATTCCCCCCCTTCTCATTTCCGTCTCGTCTTTGTTTCATGTCTATTGTCATCTCTTTCATGTCTCTATACCTCCTACCTTCTTCTACTCTCATGACAACCCTCCCCTACTCTCCCCTCCCCCCCCTTCATGTCATACTTAATCCACACACTCAGCGCCCTTCCCCCTCTCCCCCCTCCCTCCTCCCTTTCCCACCTCCCCTTCCTCCATCCCTTTCCCATCTACCCCTTCCCAATCTCCCCCTCCTTCCTCCTCCTCTTCCCACCTCCCCCTCCCACCTCCTAGACCCCCCCCACCACCACCACCACCCACCCCTCACCCCTTCCAGCATCATGAACAGGCCATGAGGTCAACACAGCGCCTCCATCCACTCTAAATGTGAAGGTTGGCGATGCAAGATGCAAACATTCAATTGATCGGGACCACCACAAGCAAGCGATTCCGGAAACTGGTCCGCCTGCAGTGAGTGATGGTGACGGTGACAGACCTATGGTTCATTGCAGTGATAGGATGAGATAATCACTGATTATAGGTGAGAGGATCTATGGTTCATTGTAGTGATAGGATGGAAGAATCACTGATTATAGGTGAGAGGATCTAGGGTTACTTGCAGTGGAAAGATGGAAAAATCACTGATTATGGGTAACAGACCTATGGTTAATTGCAGTGATAAGATGGCATAACCACTGATTATAGGTGACAGGATCTAGGGTTACTTGCAGTGATCTGATAGGCCTGTCACTGATTATGGTGATAGGCCTGCAATTAATGACGGTGATAGCAAC